CAGTGCAGCAACACAACCCAATCCAACCTGTCAGCCTTCATTTGCGCCCGGCTGACGGAGCAGCAGACAGCCCGCCCTGCCTGGGCTTGCTGCCATCCAGCAGACCGCCCGGGGCCCTCGTCGGAGCACCAGCCTGGGAGACGGGGAGGCAGCTCTGCCCTCAAACAGCGGTCTCTGTCCCTCCTGTGGCTGAGGGTAGGCCTGGCTCTGGCGGTCACCTCAGCTGTTGCCTGGGGCTTCTGTACCCCTGCCTGGATGGGCCCCCCCAGAAATGCCCAGGGCCCCAGCAGGACCTACACGGGGCCTTCTGTGATCTGTTCTGCTCAGGCCAGAGTCAGTGGAGCCCGCCATGTCTTGTCCCAATCGTCTCTGAGCACCTGTTGGTACCTGTCCCTCGTCCCCATTCCTGGGATGTGCAGTCAGAAGCCTTAAAAGCATCTACGTCGTTTGCATGTTCCCTAGAACAAAGGGTCTTCAGCTTAAATGACACCTACTGGGAGGGGTCTTCCTGGGCACCTGGTGTAGCCCCCCACATTCCCCTCCAGGTGCCACCCACCATAGGGTCCTGCTTCGGTGCCCCCTCGGCAGACGCCGCACTGGGGGCTGATCGTGTTTCTACACTGGCTTACTGGCTCGTTGTCTGTGGTAAGACGCCCACACACACCGCACTATGTATGCTACACACGCAGCCCATATTGCGCACACACCACACGCGTGAACGCAAGCCCCCACGCGCAGGGAGGTTTGCTCATCTTGCACACTGATGCTTACTCCATGCTGAGCTCAGCGCAGACAAAGGAGGTGCTGAGCAGGCACTGCTGAATGAATGAATGCCTGAATGAATGAGGTGCACCCCTGTCTGGTGGAAGGGGTGTGGGGTTTGCAGCCAGCAGGATCTGGGTCCGAATCCTGGCTCCATAACTTAGCAGCTGCAGTGATGATGCCACCACCTGCGATTTGTGTGCGGAGCCGGGAGAGAGACGCCCGCCAGTCCTACGGCCCCCGGACGCGGATGTGGATGCCGCCACGGCGAAGCGGCCACTCGGTCCGACCGATAGGCACACCTTCATCACCTGACCCAGGAATTCCTTCGGTATGGAACCTGAAGTGCCACGAAGAAGTAAGCCCTGCATCCTCACGACGGACTCTCGGATCACTGTGAGCATTTGGAAAGACCCAGAACACCTGGCCACGGAAGGACAGCCACGTGGTGGTGCAACCACATCATAAACACGGTCATGGAGGAAAGCCCATGCCTCGTAAGGGACAAAGACACACTTCATGCACTTCAAGCTGCAGGTGCTTCTGTTGTGGGAAAGTGCGGGGCCAGCCCGCCCCCCACGCCTCCGCTCACGGTGAGTAAGATACCGCGTTGGCTGGTGGGAGCAGGGGACACAGGGTCTGTGGGGCGCTCGGAATAACACCGGGCCCACGGCCCCATCAGCTCTTCCCGTTTACTGTTTGAGTACGAAGGAAATGCCTAGAAGGAAATACACAGGAAAAATATATACAAAAAAAAAAAAAAAGAAGAAGAAGAAGAAAAAGGAAGTAATAGCTTTAGCTTGAGTGACTGGATTAAGATTATTTTCTTTTAACTTTTCTGTTTCCTACAGTGTGCGTGTAATACTTTTGGATGGACAAAAACCTCTTAAAATGGGAGTGAAGTGCCCCTGAGCTGGAGGCCGGGTGTGGAGAGTGCGGGCGGGCCGGCTGGGGGCTGTGGGCTCCTGCCGAGCATCCCTCCTCTTCAGATAAATCCACTTGGAGCCACTTCATCCCTCTCTAGAGCGGACTGCGGCTGAGACCAGCCTGAGGACTCGCCAGATCCTCCAACACCTTTCTGAAACACCCCGCCCGCTCCGCGCCGCGCGGCAGCCTGAGGATAACAGGCTCGCTGGCTCGCACACTCTGAATTTCTTTGTTAGTTTGAGCCAGAAAACATTGCCTTCCCCAGACATTGTTCTAATCGGGCTCCTTGAGATTAGCGTGGCTCTCCAGGTGTGGAGCCTGGGACCCCTCATCGGGGTCACCGATGTCCGCCTGGCATGTCCCTCCCACGGCCGGCGGCCTTGCAGACGCACTGAGGGGACCCTGATAGCCGCTCTGGTTGGAGGGCGAGGGACGCCGGGAGGGCAGAGGCTTCCTCCGGCTCAGGCGCTGCGGCACGCACGGACCTGAAGCTGCTGGTGGGCTCGGGGCGTCCTGGGCCCAAGTGGCCCACTGGGCGAATGTTCTCAGTGCCTTGTGCCTTCAGATGCAATTTCTGACACTGAGTCACAAAAGATTCGGTGCCCCTCTTATGTGCCAGCCTCGGAGAAAGACACCCTGGGCTATTTTTAAATGTGCAAGACAGGGCCCTTCCTTTGAGGAGCTGATGGTGGTCATCCCTGGAGAGCGTGCATGAAGCAAGGCGCCGCCCAACGCAATGAAGCCCCCGCCGGGCCGGCCGGAGCTTCCTCCGCCCTGAGGTCTGGGGGACCTGGGGCCAGACCCCTCCACTCAGCCCGGGAGCACTTGCTGAGTGCTTTTCAGCACCAACACCCCAAACATAGGAGGCCACAAGTGTCCCCACCCCTGCTGGCTGAGCATCTGGCCCCAGTACCCATGCAAGGCCGTAGAGCTAGTGAGTGGGGAGACCGGAGCGGGACCCCTCTCTGTCCACTGCAGAGAGGAGGGGAGGGCGGCCAGCCAGCAAGGAAGGGGTCCGAGCAGAGGTGGGACTTAGCTGGGACATCGGAGAGGGGGCAGGTTGTAGTGGGTTGGAGAAGGAGGGAGAGCAGTCCCGGGAGGTGAGTGGGTGCAGACCAGCCAGGCTCACCTCCTCCACGCCTTGCCCTTTGGGCCCCAGCCTGCCTCCCCCCGTCAGGACAGGCCTGGCATCCAGAGCCCGTGTGAACCCACGGGCCATCCCCTTGTCCCCCCTGAATCCTGGAAGGGGCTTCTGGAGGCTAACGTCCCTGAAGCTTTGGGGCAGACTCAGCCAGGGCGCCGACGAGGCCTCCAGCCGTCACCCGCACCACAGCGGACATCCGTGGACCCACAGCCGAGCGCGTGCTCCCCAGGACCTTGCTGGGCTCAGGAGAACAGGTCGGCAGAGAGGAAGGAGGGCCATCGGAGGCTCACACACCAAGTGTAGTATTAAGTCAGAAGTAGTCAGAGACACACGTGATGCTAACCGACGAGACCTGGAAGGCGGTGGGGGCCCGTGGGCTACGTGAGTGCCCAAGACCACCCCCCACTCAGGCTGCCGGGCGGGATGGGGGGAGGCAGTGGAGGGCACAGGCCAGATTCCCTGATTCTAACTATTCCTTTATATCTTTACAAACAATGATCTGAAGCAGGGATAGCCAAAGGTGTAGCCATGTTAAACCCACAAAGTGATGCCCAGCGGCTTATTGATCATCTTCCTTGAAGACGAGGAAGCTCCTGAAAGCTGTTTCTTGGGGCTCCCGGGAAGCCAAGGCAGGGCACAGGTGCTGGGCACGGACCCGGTGTGCACTGCGCCGGGAGCAGGCGAGCCTCAAGTCTGTGACAGGGGGGCTGGACGGTGAGGACGGTGGCCTCACACGGCAGACAGGGATGCGTCGGGGACCGCAGGTCCTTCTCACAAAGCACAGTTCCTCGGGGACAGGTGCCCGGGAGCCAGAGGGGAGAGAGACGAAGCCATCCTGGACCCAGAGGGGAGACAGCGGCCCTCTGTCCCTGTGCCCACACGCCAGTCAGGCAGGCTTTGGGCGGCTCACACCCCACGCTCACTGCTGCCTGGGGTCTGCCACCTTCCCCACGCCTGAGGGACCAGAGGAGGTCCTGGGCACATGCTGGCCCTGACGGGCCTCGTTGAGGAGGCCGTGCACCTCGCGGGGAAAAGCAACGAGGAGCTGGCTGCAGGCCGCGGAAGGAGACAGATGTCTGAGTCCAGAAAGCACTTGGGCGGGGGATTCGGGTGGGCAGAACTGCCCTGGGGGGCTTCTGAGTTCCTCTGCCCTCCTGAGTGGTCTGTCCCGGATGCTCTGTTGTGGGTCAGCAGGTAGCACAGGGGTGCAGTGTTGGTGGGGCAAAGGGCAAGTGGAGAGGGGCTGAGCCCCTCGGAGGAGGTCCTTCCATAGCAACCTGCCAACTGGTCACCGCCCACCTCGGGCCACCACGGAGGGGGGGGGGCGGTGCTGGCGTCCCTCAGCTGCTACTCGGAGCCCAGAGTGAGGCACGTGCCTGGGACTCGTCTTCCCAGAAGCCCTGGGAGGGAGGCTCTCTGTCTCCACTCCCCAGGTGGGGAAACGGAGGCCCGGCGAGATCGACTGGCCCTGGCTCACTCTCCCTGTGCACAGACAGCTCAGCCAGCTCGACTCAGGAAGAAGGGCCCATAGGGGACATAAGAGGGGCCTCAAGGTGGCCCCCTGCCCTGCCTCTACCAGCCACTTGGCCACGCTGAGCTCTGGGCACTGCTCTGTAAGATGAGGCAATCAGCTGGCACATCTCATAGGCTTCTGTTCCAGGAAAACACATCAAGGGCCCAGAACACAGTGAGTGCACTCTGATCTTGCAGCTCCTTGAGGACTCCAGGAGCCCCGATGCCCGAACTCTCACCCAGCCAGGCCGTCCCCTTGGCAAGGAGCCGGGCCAGTCCCTTTAGCCACCGGTCCCATAGAGACGCTGAACAGAGCTGCATGGAACGCAGAGGCTGAGGCCAGCTCCCTCCCTGAGCCCCTCACTCTGCGTCCTCCACGAGCATCGGCCAGGGCATTGGGAGCCAGCAGCAGCCTCCGTGTTCTCCCCGTGTCTCCCGTGCCCACAGGGGCCACCTGATGGAGGCGAGCGGGGACAGGTTACAGACACAGATGGACCGCACTCGGGCCCCCCTAGCCCAGTGCACCGCACGGTCCCTGCCCCCAGGTTCTGAGATGCTCCCCGCCAGCACCGATAAAGAGGGGGACGCCCAGACACATTCTCATAGAGAACAACCCTCTTCCCGGGGTGTCTGCATTACGTGGACAGTCACTTACCGAGAAACTGAGAGACGGTCCTGCCAGTGGATCTTTCCAGCATGGCTCAGGCAGCCCTTTTGTGGATAAATGGTTAAGAGCTATTTTTCCATAAATTAGCACAAGATAAAAACCCATAAAATTTGTCAGTAGGCTTCAGAATTGTGCTATTTTCATAGAGTACACACTGGGGCGTGCTTGGAGCCATATGGTGTCTCCAGGCCGGAAGGCGGGCAGCCCACAGACCTCTCCCTGGGCCATGGGGGCGCTGCCCACGGAGGGACCGATGGTCGGTTGTTGACTGTCAGGTCCGGTGTCCCTGGGGTTCCCCCTGCTCCTCACAGCAATAGGAAAAATTAAATAATACAACAGATACCCCGCTGCGAGTGTTAACGATGTGCCAGGCGCTGGACGAAGGTCACCACACCGTCTCCCCGGTATGGGCAGCAGGCGCATCATGACCTCTCTGCCTGGACAAGCCCAGTGAGGGCAGCAGGTGGGAGTGTCCCTGACAGTCAGGGGACAGACAGACGGGATCACTGCCAGAGGTCACCTGAGCACCTCGACAGCTTCCCTCTGCAGCCACAAAGGGTAAGCAAGCGCATGCCTATCTCAAGATGGGAGAGCAAAGCACAGAGGGGTGGGGACTGGTGCTCACTGGGGACCTGCCCCGTCCCAGACAATCAGCTGGACTCCCACAGCAAACCTCTGAGGTTGGCAATAACATTCCCACGTTGCATGCAATTGAGGAGCATTGAAGCTCAGAGAGGTTAGGACACCTGCCCAGGGTCACACAGCACACAGGTGGTGGCAGGGTGGTTCCGATTCTGGAGCAAGATGGCGGAGGAGTAGGAGACCTGGATTTCGTCTGGTGGCAGGGTGGTTCCAAAGCCACTGCTTTCCAGCAGGCCAGCTGGGTTGCACAGTCCACTCGATTCACTCCTAAGAGGGCAGGCTTGCATTTCATAGACAAGCTTAGGCTTCTACAGAGCACCTGGCTCATGAATACAGACTTCCAGTAGAAGAAGGCAGGACCACAGAAGGAAGGTCACTCAGTAACTGTGCTGGGTTCCCAAGGACTGTGACCAGACAACAGGGCCTGTGTCCCCACCTCCAGTCCAGGAAGAGAGCTAGAGTGAAGGGGAGGAGGGGAAAGGGGGGAGGAGGAGGGAGGAGGAAGAAGGTGGGGGGAGGAG